ATTTTGAGTTCAATTAAAATAAGTACTTATAAAAATGGAGTTCATCGAACCTGGTTATTGTCTACTAGAGTTCACACTCACATCCAAATCTCTATGAATACTCGAAAAAATCAAGTTGATCACGAGGAAAATGTTAATCGGGAATTAAATTCACTGACAAGCATATAATAAATCAGAGCTGCCACCAGGCCATCGGAAAATTTGAAACTCAAATCTGAGTTGATCTGTCTACATTATATTGAAGTAGAATAGGAGACTAGCTCAGACTATCATTATAGGCCCAATTCATCTTTTCTTTGTGTGAGAAATCTTTGCGTCTATCGTCAAATTTCTGTAAAAATCCATATTATAAAATATATTTCTGACAGAAAGAAAGGATGAATTGGATCAATAATACTGGTCTGAGCTAGTTTCCTACTCTACTTCAACATAATGTAAACGGATCAACTCAGATTTGATTTTCATATTTTCCTATGGCCTGGTGGCAGCTCTGTAATAAATGCACGTTCTCGAACACATTTTGTAAATCAAACAAATTTTGAAGCAGACTCATTCACTATTGGATCAATACTATTTATGTTACGACAAATTAGAGAAACAAACCATTTTGCACGAATTTTTATTGCTTCGAACTAGAGCTTCATATTAAAAAGAAACATATTTTGAGATTTTTCGATCGATTCTATAGAATTAAATTATATCGTATTTGACATTAATCGTATCGAAAAATTATTTTACATAAATAATATGAAATCATACCAAAATATCAATGTTAAGCGAGTGTTTAACATGTTTGATATTCTTGCAGAAAGTTTTTTTTTTTTCGATATTTGATCGGCCTAAAATGAACAAAAGTGTACCATTGAATATTAACATTGACAATCAATTTCATTTATAGTTTCATATAATTTAAGATAAACTAAAAAATACGCCTTCTTCTTAACATATGTAAAGGTTAAAAAATCTTTTATTTCTATTCTCTGTAATTTTGCATAAGAAGCGGTTCTTTTAACCCAAACTATTGTAGGTACATATTTCTTGACTCATCTACACACTTTATTGACGAAGAAAATAAATTTTGTCAACTTGTTTCTATTTCTTCTCTTGTCCGTTCTAATGTCCATCGTATTTCATCCATTTGAATATTTATTTATTTACTTCAACAGATTGCAGACTTGTTGTTTAATGAATAATTTTCATCCGAGATAAGACAAATACTGAAAAGACATTACGATGAGAAAAAAAAGAATAATCATAATGTTGAAAATATTTCTTAATCATTTTTCTCAAACAGAAATATTTGTTGAAAATTATCATTTAAATATTTTTCATTCTTTATTCTAGATTAGAATCAATTAAAACAAGTATATTCATTATGGAAAAATCATCGTCGAATAAATCCACTGGTAAAAAGCGACAGTCAACGCCACAAGCAACTGAATGTCAAATATGTGGAGTTCCAGCAATATTTTCATTTTATGGTGTTGTATCATGTAATCCATGTAAAATGTTTTTCAAACGAAATGCTCAACTAGGACAGGTCATTTGAAAATAGTTAATTTTATTTCTATTATATTCAGTGCTTTTTTTTTTTTTTTTTTTCTTTTTCGGTTAAGAAAGCATTTAAATGCAATAGTGATGGTCATTGTGAAATAAATATCAATAATCGTCATGTATGTTCTTCTTGTCGGCTTCGTAAATGTTTTACAAAGGGAATGCAAATTAATATGGTTCGATTACCTTTTTCGAAAAGAAATCGAAGAAAGAAAAAAATAACCGAAATAGTTAATCCAACAGAAACAACATGTACTGTTGTATGTCGATTAAATGAACCTGATCAGGTGAGACCTTTTATGACTTTTTTTGTTCATTTTAAATATGTGATCATAATCGGTTCAAGTCAAAAGGCTTCAAATATTGGATTTATTACAGCAAATGAAATGACAATATATGTATAAAACATTGAACATTAAAGAAATATTCATGAATAGATCAGGAAAATATGATAGAATAGAACGAAATGGAAACATCAATCAAATTGAATGTGAAAACAAATGCACGAGAAAATATCAACAATAAAAAAAAAATAACGATAAGAAGTCTTATGAATGTATTTCAAGAAGATGTACATCATGGCATGAATCTGTTTTTGTCGAAATTCTCACAAATAGTTATTTATTTTCTATTCATATTTAGTTTTCAATTGTGAATATTTTACGATCAGATCAATCAACATTAACTGTCGAACAATGGGATCTTCTTTCAAATCTATCTCATTGCTATGATGAATATAGTGGATTATCATTAGGTGAACGTTTTATGAATGAACAAAATAGTTTACCTCCTAAAATACGTTTTAAAAGTGAAGTACTAATTAAATATTTCAGTGTCTCGTTCGAAGGAACTCAATTATTATATAAAAATAATCAAGATTTTCTTTCATTATCTCTTGATGATCGCTTTACTTTACTTAATAGTACAATGGAACATACAGCAAGTCTTTCGACAAATTATATTTATCATGTAATTGGACTATTGAGTTGTCATATTTACTATGATACGGTTGCACTTATTACTCATCCTAGTGTAGTACCTATTGCTAAACGTTTGGCTGAAAGAATTCAATTTGATATAGTCGTAATGAAATTATTTCTTGCAATTGTTTGTTTCTCAACCATAAATTATACAACTTATTCAAATGGACCTCCAATAAATTTATCAAATATAAAACAAGTTCTAAATATTCAAAATAAATATATTGAATTAACATGGACATATTTATTGTACAAATACAATTATGAACAAGCCGTTATATGTTTTTCTGATTTTATAAGGTGTTTATTTGCTGTTACTGAGTCTCTTCATAGAACAGACTTTGTAAAGTTTATCAAAGATAAAATCACTTCTCTTGTTGAACAGACGGAACAGAGTTTTAATCTTAATAATTAAGATTTCTTTTTTTCTGTTAAATAAATTGTACTAAGTAGTAAGATTTTGTTGTTAGTAAATATTGGATACAGAAAGAAAGAAAGAAAAGAAACTTTAACCATTTCAAGACTGAAATAAGAGTGGATGTAGATGAATACCTTCGCTTTATGATCACACAAGCCATATCACAACATCCAAATCCTCACACTTCAAACAAGCACACAGTGAGAATCGTCTAAAGTTGACTGGATTTTACAATAACATTGGTCTCATATATCAACAATGAAACAAGTATTTCCAAGTGCTTGACTTTTATGAAATATCATTTGCTATTCAAAAGAAGTATCTGTCAAGCGCTTATCTTTGATTTGAACAAGTCGTACAACAGTATTGATATCGTTTGTAATTGTCTTGATCATTATAATCTGACGACGAAGAATTGCAATCTATCATTTGAAACTGTGGTGAAGTTACTCCTGCGCAACATGTGACGATTGGAATGATTTACGAGAATATAGGTCATGTAAATGAAGAGAGCGACGAGCTGGTACAAGCAGTGACTGTATTGCTGAGGATATTTTCAATCGGTTGTCGTTCACTATTGGCTCACTCAATAAGGAAAATGTGTATAAATCAAACGAGTTGTCAATTATGCTTTAGACACTCAGGGAAGTATATAAGCAATTACGTCTTATTCAGTATCATCTGATGAATAACTGTATGAAATAAAAAAATTGTAAATTCTATTTGGTTATTTAATTAGTTATAAAGTTGAAATTGATCGTATACAGCCGGAAATTCCTGAATATACGTTTATTTTTTGTTAAAAAATAATAAAAATTTCTTTTCAGGATACTGCATATATTTCATTGATATATTTAATAATATATATATGAAAGATAAATCTATACGCCGCGTTATTTACTCACCATCATTATTGAATTATTCATTAGAAGAAGAAATAGAGTTGTACAAGAATTGTCCGTCGCCCATGACTTCGATCGGAACATGATGATATACATCATTAGTTGTCTTTTCAAGATATTTGTTACCTAAGCAGACTTTAAAACACATGCAACGAGTGATCGGAAGTTTGAAATAGGTGACTTTTGTTCATCATCCTGATCCACTAGTCATAAGTATATTCATCTTAAAAGACACACTTTAGAAAAGAACACTTTCGTTCATGTCCGTCTGATTGATCGCTGTGGCTCATAGTCACATTCGAACCCTCATGAATCCGTATAACAAAAGACTCCATCTGAGAATACTTTGTTTTAGTATTTTTGTTCATAATAATATCTAAGTGTAGTATGCACAATATTTTTCTTCCATCGTCACAGAAACATGTCAATTTCGAGTCTGAAAAATTTTGCAAAATGCATTGTTTTATTGAAAACATGTTATAGAGCGACTTCAATGCTCATTTTCAGCATAATCTAAACGATTCTTTCGGTTTTCTATAGGAAAAAAAATATTTCCATGATCATAGAATCTAATTGAGTTAGTACACGTTTGCATCGGTTACGCATGAAGAGATCTTTCTCAAATAGGAACATATTCGGTAAAACCATGTTTTGTATTAATTAAAAGATCTCTTCTCTTTTGTTTTTTCTTTCAGAAGTTCAAAAGAGTTTTTTTATCACAAAGCAGTACATTTCTTTAAATATATATGCCGAAGTTTGTTATGTGAAGTGTTCCTTATGAGCCTGCGAATACACTCGTTTTTGCAAAAAAAAACAATCTAGAGACACTTTTTGTAAAGATCTAGTAGAAGATCTTCATTGTAACTTATGAACGATAAGACAGAATAGAAAACCTTGGATCATCGAATGTACTAAGGACTTTACTCAAAAAGATCAAGTCTATCATGAGTAAAATCTTAATTGTGCATTAAGCTCACTGATAAACATATCTTACATGTATGGTTTTGAACGCTAATACATGACCATGTAAGGAAGAGAGTATTGAATACTTTTTCTGTATTTTTGTTTTGGCAATTTTTTAGATCGAACAAATTTTGAAGAAGAATGATTAACTATTGAATAAATGCCGATTATTTGACGATGAATTAGAGAAAGAAAATATTTCACATGAAACTATTGCTTCGAAGTAGAACTTCATTATTAGAAAACAAAGCTTTTTTCGGCTTTCGATCGACACTAGATGAAGAGAATGTATCATTGAATGTTGTCATTAGAAATGAATTTCATTTAAAGTTCAATTTAGCTTAATATTGAGTAAAAAACCGATCTTCTTCTTAACATATGTAAGGGTTAAAAAAAACTCGTATTACTATTCTCTGTGATTTTGCACCGGGAGATGTTTTCTTTACTTGAACTATTATATGATGAATATTTCTAGACGCATTCGCATTTTTTGCTGACAAAGGAAATAATACAGAGTTTGTTTTGTTTCTTGTTTTTATACCTCTTTCTGCTTCATCTGGTCTCCATCGTATTTCATCTATCCGTTAGTTTATTTGGGTGTGGGTGTGTTTTCTTCTCATTCACACCTAGATCCACACCCCACCCACACGTCACATCCACATCTGTTCTTAGGGAATATCACGAACAAAGTATGTAGGACAACAAGGCAGCAAAGACAAACCGACCAGACAGAATATTAGGATATAAACGTTTTTTAAAGAAATGTCACTTTTTATTCATTTTCACGATGTCGGATAATTCTTCTTTTTTTGTGACGTCGCTCTATTATGTCAACCCTATTAATCGGGAATAGTAAAGTTATTAAAAAAATAATGCTTATTAAGATCACCACTCTCGCTTTTCTTTTTTATTATTTTATTTTAGTACTACTTTACTCGAAGAAAAAGAAAGAGATAAACATGAAGAGAGTAGTAACATTTTTCCAGTGTTCTTTTAGCCACAACATGATGAAGAAATACAGAATGAGTTATATATTAGTGATAACAAGAAAAACAAAAGAATACAAATAGTATGATAATCAAACAGTTGCAGTCAAAAGAAACTAATATGTTTAATGTAGATTGATAATTTTATGTCAATTTTGTTGTTAATAAATTCATTTGAACATGTTCATTCAGAAGAAGAACGATCATATCAGTGATTATAAACGTGATGTAGAACAAAACCGTAGGAAGTAAGCATTATAAATATTTCACATCGAAGCACATATTTGAAAAGAGGATGCAACTGAAAAATCATTTTAAGACAGTGTCTAGAAGGTGAACAGTGCGTATATTTCGTCATATAAATACGTAAATCTAATACTTTTAAAGAAGAAAGTCGATAAAGCAGAATATTTGCAATTTTATCGAATTCATTTCCATTTTTTTTCGTATAGTTAGTTGACGAAGACCGTTTAGTTGAGTAGTTATCGGCAACGAAATAACAACTGGATTACACTTATCAAAATGACATATTTTCAAGCGAGAAAATTCACTGCTTAACATGCATTGGACCAATTTAGGTGAACTAGCTGGTAAACGTATTGATCATAGTTGAGAACAAATATCAGAACGAATTATATTCTCTATTTCATGTAGCAGACGAGAATACCAGTCATTATCTGACGACAGATAAGTTTGAAAAAACTGATGGCTACCTTTTATGAAATTAGGTTTGAGAAGAAAAAATAATTCATCGTGACAAATTTCCCAGTGGATTACTTTGAATGAATGAAAAAATGACAGAACAGAATCTAATTGATTCTTAGTCACAACGATCAAATTGGATAGCGATTTGAGAATTGCATTGAGACGATTATTTAATTGAGAGAATACTAAATAGATTTCAGTAGCTATGAAATAATTAAAGATTTCTATAAGAAAGATACATTTCATTGTGTCGTTATGTTCTACAAAATCATCAATACGATTGAAGTGCTGAATTTCTATAACAGAAAATACATGAATAGCTTTTCGAGGGTATGAGTGTTGCTTTTCTTAAAGTGAGCACCTACACCCACCCAAATTATTAACAAGAAGATGAGATCAAGATGTATAAGCATGAATAAAACGCGAAGAAAAGTTGTTGTACTCGCCAACCTTTGAAAACACCGTTGGTCAGTACGAATCGTTTGTTTCAAAGATGAACTTATTTTCCTTTTACTATTTCGATCCTTTCATCAAATATAGATATTCCTGTTTTACGTCCTTATTATGGAACATGAATTTTTTTAATGTTTATTTAACAGAAATTCTGAGACATACAATTAAATTCAAATTGAGATTCTCGTAGTTAAAGAATTAAACCGATTGTTTCTATTTGACTCGTTGATTATCATGATTTTTCTCAGATGAACTTAGACAAATCTTTAACATTTTAATTGAGATTAGAAAAAAAAACATTCTACTGCAATCAACCAGTATCGCGATCGATTAATTCAATCTCCACATTAGTATCTGTTGAAAAAAAAACGTAAGGTGGACAAAATAAAACTCATCATATTGAATACCTGATTCGATCATCTAAAAGGATATAATCAATATTATCGTATTGCCATTGACATTTAAGTGTAACTCGACAAGTTTTATCTGTTCATGTATTTGAAAAGATTCGGATAAAATAATTTCAAGTAAACAAGACCGAGATTTTTTTTCCTCATATTGATTAATCTTTTCAAATATCAAGGTTATCTATTAAATTTTGGAAATGTACATTTTAGATAATCTAACGTGATTCACTATTCGAGACTTCCATTCGATATTTCAGCAAAACAAGTTGAGTTCTGCATTTTTTAATCACAAAGTGAGTGAAACAATGCGTAAATTTCCCATCATATGGCTAATTTATTTTCAAGATGATATAAGTCATGTGAAAATCGGAAATATCATTAGATAAAGTGTCTGATGACAAAGCAGCGCTTCGTTTTCTCGAGTAAAACTTTCTGCTCAAGAGAAAAGGTGACTGGTTTACGATTTTAATCAAAAGATTCTCGATTTATTCAAATCATCAACATAATTCCAGAGTTATCATTGAACGATTGTGTAAGAAGATTGCCTTTCTATGTCATTGAATAGAAAAAACAAGAGTCTGTAAACATCGACAGATGTCAGAATCAGAGACAAAACGAGTCAACCATCAAAATTCAAGTTAATGATTCTAAAGTCTATTGACGTTGTCATCGAATGTTATTGAATCAAAGATAGATTGTTTCGAGTTACATAAAGAAAGCAGAATGTGTGACAAGCAATAGGATAAATATTTACACAAAAAGTAAAGAATTCATCAAAATTGATTGACAACACTTGATTTGGTTTGAATTTAAATCTTCGGCATTGTCAATGATTTAATAGATGGGCAACTGATCTATATAGAACTTGATGATTTCAATATGAAAATTGAAGTCTTTCTTTCGAATTATTTCTAATAGAGAGTTTCAATCATGTACAGAATTTTATTTTAGTAAAGTTTAACATTAGACTCATCGATTCATTTTCTTTATCTCTTCATGTTTTGATTTTTTTTTTCGAACAAAACTCTTTTAGATATTTAATCAAGTTCATTTGTCTTCGACAGACATTCAAAGGAAATTTTTGTCTATTTGCATTTTTTTATTGTCAGATCATTAATGATCTATTTTACATGTTTAACCCCGAATGTGTTGACCTTGGTTTTTTTTCTGTTTTGTTTTTTTTTGCTATAAATGATGCGATTTTTTCACTGTTGCTATCGAATATCATTCTCAATAGACATGATTTTGTTTATCAATAATCAAGATTTCGCTGTTATTAGATTTATTCTAGTCATCATAGGACTTGAGTTTCATTGTCAATCAATTGATTTAACCGATGACGCAAAACATGTCTTCGAAACATCAACAATTTTTAAAGAGAATCGACGTGAAAAAGATGTGAGTGTCTCGGTTTATCGGTATGCTATTCTAGTTATCGACAGCCACAGCCATAGCCTACAATGCCACGACGTCATAACTTTCGGAAGTAATGCTTGTGAAATACAAATGCGTATACCTCACTGAAATATATCTGGTATATTTGGATTATGAGATTATTCACCATTTTGACGACAAAAGATTTTTTTAAAGTGATTGATTTCTTATTCACAACCAAATGTTATTGTTGAAATCGAATGGAAGATTATTTTTGGTTTTCAAGAATATCAAATGATTATATTTGTTCAATAGTGTATCATTGACATGGTTATCAAGTTACGAAAAAAAGAATATTCCAATGATGGAATTCATTTTCAATGCAGTATGATTTATTGGAACATGGAATGACATTGAATAATAACAATATTACAAAGTTTATTAGGATTTAGTTGCAAATATCAACAAAAATAAACAGGAGAGAATAGAAATCTTTGACACAACATTTCAAACATCGTTCAAATGTTTCTATGTTTGAAGTCACTCATTTGCTTTGCGTCATTTTATATAAAACTCTTTGCATCAGATAGAATATACCATATTAATTCTGTTTATTTGCTCGATTAGCGTTTTTTAAAATCGTTCTGAGAAATTGAATGTAATCGAGAATAAATTCTCTCTTGATAAACTTTATTATGTTTTACTCAAATTTATTTAGATACAGAGTTGCTATGGATTACAAAGATAAAATAAATGAATCACTTTTGCACAATGTATTCTACAATTGAAGAATAATACATGCGCATAATTTTGGTGATGATCGTCAAAAGTTGATCACTTTCGAAAATTGTGGCAGTAGAATTAAAGATTTTTAATTGGTAAGACTAGTTAAATGATCTTTATGCATAACTAAGTAGATAAGCTAATCAGTTTCTGTAAAAAAAGACTAAGTTTTTATTGAAAATCCTTCATTTCAAGTCTTCTATAAGAATATTGTCCAATCGACATCATGATAAGGTTGATCGAGACGAGGATTTCATTGTTGAGAAAATATAAACTTTCTTTAAAGAGTAGCTTTTCAATTGGAAAATATCTTCATTCATCACTACTAGGATTTTATTTTATTGAAATCACATATTGATCAACATTCTATAACAATGTGGTACATAGCACAATATCTAATTTGTCATGCAACTCTAATAAATCAAAAGACTAGAGAAACTAACATGAACCGTCTACAGTATCAAAAGTTTATATTATGTGAAAAATAAATATTTTAGGAAATCTTTCGTGTTGCCTTATTTCATATGAATTTATCGTTTAATTGAAGCAATACAAATATTTACTTGTTCAGATAAAGTCAAAAAAGACAGATTTTTGCCTATTTCGAAGAATCTGCTTGTTGTACGTTGATGGTTTGATCGACTTCGAAATATTTCATGAATACAGTGATATAGCAATCGGTAAACTACTTAAGTATGTAAGTTTTTTTGGGATTAATCTTTTTGAAAGTTGTTTTCTGTCCTGCTAAGCATTACTTGGGATCCTCGTTCAACAAATTTTATTTTCACTAATTGTACAGAAAAACTTATACGAAATGATAAAAAAGGAACGAAAAAAAAGAACAAAAGAATAGTTAGACTCATGAGAATACCAATGGAAATAGGTGATATATCGATAATAATGTTTCAAAAAGCGATAATTTGAATCCTTTTGTTTTATTTCAAACGATTTATGAGAAATAAATTTTTTTTTTATTCAAAATCAATCATAATGAAATATTGATAAAAGAATTCTGAATTTTTCTTTATATTCAGAAAAAAGAAATCAATTAATGATGTAAAAAGGATACATCTGATAAGAGTCGATATTAAGAGAAGTTTCATTTCAATCACATAAATGAAATTGATTTCCTCTTGGTGTGATTGTCATAAAAATAGTCATATATTGAGAACATATGATCACTTTGACTATTGTTCGATCGATAATTTTTTTTCCTAAAATTTTAGAAAGCGAAATATTTGATGAAATAGAGACAAGATGTGGTTGCGCACCTATGAAAAATCAAATAAACTTAGGATCTTGATTACGGGTTAAATTGCAGTTTCTATTTCTCTATATCATCGATAAACAAAGAAACTCTTAATCCTGTATATAACGATAGATGAAAAATAGAGAAAAATAATTGAGAAAAAAGAACCAAAAACAATGCTAATTGAATGTCTAACAAGAATAGACAAACAGAAGAAAAAAAAATACTGAAGGCATGTTTGTTTTTTTTCATTTTACGATGCACTTATTTCTATAATTATCAGTGTAAAACATGATTAAACGACGATAAGTCATAGATATTGTGCGAAAATACAAAATGATGAAAAGTATTATATTGCTTCTATTTTCGTGTGAGCAAACCAATTTCAAACAAAATAAGCCTCCTATCTGTACTAATATAAATCATACAAAATAAGTTGTACAATTATTTCGCTTAATATCTATATAAAAAAAACATATTTCACTTCTCTTCTTCGCATATGCTTATGTAAAACCTAATGAATCTACGAGGCAATCGTTCCAACTATCAAATTGTCGTTTGAAAGAAAAACAAATGAACTATAGGCTATTTTAGCCTACAAGCATTCTCCGTCTTGGTATGAAACGGTCATTTTTCATTGAAGAAAAAAAAAGATAACAAGAAAACTATTTGGGCAGTGTTCAAATATTCAGGCTATGTCTGTTTCAAGCGAGATGAAATCAAGAAAAAACAGCCGTTTGTCTGAAAAATTGCTTTTTGTAAGTATCTTGAGATAGTTCATGAGCTATGCATATGACGGTATTCAAATGAAAACTATTGACAACCTAGAGTTTACTATAAAATCATATCTCAATGCTTTGTCTGATTGATCAAAAATAAAAAAGTAGATAAATAAGCATTTTAGCTGATAAATTAAATAACAATTCAAATAATAAAGAAGATGAATTGGAAACATCTATAGACATTCTATGAAACACAAAATACATTATTAAATGCACCATAGATTGAGATCGATATTTTATAATGATTGTTGATCGAGATACTATTTGAAAAACAAGATGTAATAGTAAGGTAGATGTAACTTCTTCATTTAAATTCATTTAAATGTAAAATAGCATCAAAAAAATTAAATTCAAAATTTTATTTAAATAAATTTAAATTGATTACATTTATGATAAATATCTTCAAAATGAAGAATTAAAAAGACTTGAGACAAAAATATGAAACTATTACTATAGGTTGTGGATTGAAATATTCACCTTCTCGATATCTTATTTAATCAAAAAAGATATGAACCATTTTCACCTATTTTTTAGATTTAATTAACATCCTAATTCATCATCAGGTATGTAAGCTAAAGTTTGATTACTCCTGTATTCATATTATTATTAGAAAAAAGCTTCAAAATTTCAAAAAAAAAATGGCGTACATCAGTAATATTACAACAAATGATTCCATGATATTACTGATTTATTCAATTAAAAGTTTTATATCCTAAAAAATTTCTTATTTCAACAATAGATATTGAAATAGTTTGGCACACACATTTTTTATGACCTTTTAATATATCAAAATGATTGTCTTCGATTATTTCGTCAAATTGTTGATTATTCATTATTGTGAAATTGTAATGACCAACTTTTTAGAGAACAAGCTGTTTTAGATACTTTGGATTCAAATGAAAAATATTGTTCATTACCATAATATAAAAATGATAAGTATTTTCATCTTTGTTATGATAGATTTCAATATTTAATTCGAATTTATTCTGATTGGAATGAAGCGTATGTTGAATTTTCATCATATCCACTTGATGAGTATGAAAGTCCATTTTCATTTACAAAAGTTGATATTATTCTTGATGCAAATTGGATTAATTTATGCAAACACTTTATGAATTATATCTTTTTGAAAAAATATATGGAGTTTGGTGATTCTAATCCATTACAACCAATTGATTTAAAATCATCAGCAATGAAACGAGTAAAAAAATCTTATGAAAGATGTCTATATACAACTGCAAAATATCCACCAAATATACAAGGGCTCAATATGATGCAGTAGAAATTTGTCTAGATATGTCGATCGTTATTCGATCATTATCAATAAAACTTACAATAAAAATTAGAGATGAAAATAGTATTTATAACAGAAAAGAAAGAATATACTCGATGCTTCTCTCTCTTCTTATCTCTATATGTGCGCATATGTAAAGAAAAACAAAAA